CATCCCCCCTTGCCACAGCTCCCCCTCCCCTCTCCCCCTCTCCCGCGCGCAGCCGTGGGAAGCTGTCCATTAAGGCCGCGCGTGCCCATGTAAGGCGCGCAGGGCCGGCGGGGGGGCCGCCCGTGAAGTCACTGCCGCCCAATGAGGGGCCGGGGGCGGGGCCGGGTCCGCCTGCGCCGCGGGGATTGGCGGGGGCCGGATCTCCCCGCTGCCTTACAAGGCAGTGTAAGGCGAGCTATTTTTAGAGCGCTATATAAGGGGCGGCGGCGGCGCGCTGCTGCCGGGGAGGCACGAGGCGTTGGTAGTGTTGCTCGAGCGGCCGCCGGCTCCGCAGCCTCCTGCTGCTCTGCCGAGTAGGGGGATGCCGGGCCGCAAAGAGCTCCGTCCCGAGCCTTGCGCAGCCCGGCCGGGGTTGGGTGAGGAGCCCGGAGGCTTTGACTGTGCCCCCCTCCCCGGAGCTTCAGGGGCAGGAGGCAGCTCGGCTGCGGTTGGGCCCCCGCGTCCCTGTCGTGTCTTCAGAGCTGTGCCCAACGCTCCCTTGCGCCCTCCCTGCCCCCTGCCCCTGCTGCGAGGGCGGGTGGAGAGGCTGGGGTTGGGGAGCCTGCAGAATGGGCTGCCCTGGGAAGTTTGGGCACCTTGTGCCCAGCCCAGGCCCTCCCCAAAGCAAGAGGCACCACAGCATCTCCATAAATGCCCAAGCAGCTCTGAAGTCTAGGCATTTCTCCAGAGCATCCAGCTGGGCATCCCGGCTAGCCAGGTTCCCAACCCCCTTGCCCTGCCACTTTGGGTGGGCTAATGAACTGTCTGCCCTTAAATGGTCCGTGCGGTGCAAAGCTTCCCAATGTTGCCGTAGGGCCCTGTCTCTGCTTTGGGAGGGAGTGCAGAGCTGCAGGGGCTCGTTCAAAGATGATGGGGCTTTTCCCGTAATAGAAGAAATACGTTCTCTTTGTCTGCCTGAGATTCAGTGGGCCCCAGTGCCCCACCAGATACCCAGCCGGGGACATATCTGGCTGGCTGCCTGTGTGCAGTACTCCCTCCCCACCCCGGTGCCCTTTTACTGTGGTCTGTCAAATGTGTGAGTTGGACCTGTTCTCAGCATAAACAAACTCGCTGCAGATGCTGCCATGTGCTGTCAGGCCATCTGGCTTTGCAGCGGTTGCACTACAGCTCTTCTGCCCTTACGTGAAGTAGATGTGCAGGTTTAGTTGGCACCTACTTCTGTCACAGGCCAGATTCTCAGCTAAATTGGCTGCTGATGGCAGTGGAGCTGAGTGAATGGCCCCTTTAAACTTAGCTGAAGTCGAGGTTACAGAATAAAGTAAGTGGTCTGCTGTTAATTCATTTGGGGTACATTTTATCTCCTTCTGAGCTGGGTTTTTCTTGTTGTTAGGCAAAAGGACAGAATCAGCAGCAGTTGTGGGGACCACGGGGTTTTTTTTAAAACCTGATGATTCCATGTTAAATTCCAGCATCTCATACTATGGAGGGCAACATTCCTTTGGATTCTTACAATAACAACCCACAGAGATTGAATGTGAGTGTGAGTGTGCATGCGTGCGTGCAGGGGGGGATTGTATAAAAATAAAAGCCCTTGGCACGGCAAAAATACACGTTGCTTTATGTTTGGGAGTTTGCTTTTAAAAATAGTGGGATGGTTCATGGGACTGATAACTGGATACTCAGCCTTTCACCTCTGGTTGAGTGATCTGAACACAGCCTGCATAGTTCATCAGTGACAGCGAGGTACTGTTTGATGATTGTTAAAAGGCCTGCGTGAAAAGCATTGCATGTCTTTCTCTATTTACTGGTGGAAAGGTAACGTGTCTTAAAAGTGCCTTCACATTTGGCACTTTTAATAGCAGGCTCAGCAGAAAGCCTAGGGATAAAAAGGGGAAGTCTAAACTGTTCTCTCATATACATACATAATATATATAAATTTGCCCTCCAGAAGAAGGATGAAAGAGCACTGGTGCAGAGGAGAGGAAAGCTTTGCACTGCCTGTCACTGTGCTGAAGCTGTTCTAAGGATAGAAGTTACCAGCTTCCAGTGTCCTCAGTTCCTTAGAATAGTGATGGATTTCCTGAGCACATTGAATGGTATGTCAGGTAAAGACCAAATAGGAAAGGACAAGACAGGAATTGGAACCAGAGTCAACAGGGTCCAATATGGTAGGAAAGATTTGGAGCACAGCCATTGCACTCAGAAGCTTACACAGAAGTCTGGCTTTAAAAAAAGGTTTCAGTAAATGTTTCTCTTTCACAGATCACGTTTTGAAATGATTTCAGAGTAAGAAAGTTAGCTCTTGGCCTGCCTAAAGGTACTGAACACATGGAGTAGCAAATTTACATGGTTTAGGCTATTTAACTCTTAATTTCTACCTACTGTTTTTAGCATTCCTAGGGCTGAAACAGTCTTTCTGTTTCACTTCCAGCCACAAGTCAAATGTGGCCCTGAAGTTCCTTGTATGTACAACTTTAATAATGAGCAAGGCAGTTTTTGGACCCCCAAAATTAGACAGTGAAAAAGGGGAAGCCTCTTAATCTGTAGTAATTTCTGGTGTTATCTAGAAAGAGGAGAGGCTCCTTCTAGCCTATGTCTCTATTTAGACCAGATTCTTCCTTCACATACACGTATGCCAATCTAGAATGATTCCACTGCTTTCAAGACAGAACATATGTGTTTCACTTCCCTTGGTGAAAATCTATTATAGAGTTACTCTAGATTTGCTTTGGTCAAAGGCAGAGGGGGCAGAATTTGGCCCTTACAATCTGGAGATAGATTGCACTTTGATTTATTGCAAAGCTCTTGTTTGTGAGTCATTATTGATAGATGGCCTTATGGGAGATGCTTCTGACATGCTAACTAGTAATTTGACTTTCTTGTCCTGTCTGCCATTGAGGAATCATAGGGCTGGAAGGTACCTCAGTAATTTACCAAGCCCCTGCACAGATGCAGGATTCATAGGCATCCACCTGGGATGGTTCAGGAACTATCTGGTGAAGGATCCAGTAGAGAATATTTCAGAGTTTCCCTTGGCCTTTTGTTCCGCTGTCCTACAGTTTGCTTACAGTTAGGAATTTTGATGAGTTGAATCTAAATCAGGATTTTCACCCCCATCTTCCTTGAAAAGATTGCTCTCAGATTGGAGCTAAATTCTTTTACGCCAAATGAAAGCTTGCATGCTCTAGGACCATATTGTTACAAAAGGCCAGATTCTGGCATTGGCACAGGCATGTAGCTCCCAGTGACTTTGGAAGAAATAGTGGTGGAGAGCAGAACTTGGCTGTAAGCCTTGATGTGAAGATCTGTTCAAAGATTCTGGCCACCTGCCTGGAAACTATTCAGAGGGCATCACTCCATGGTTTCCAGGCAGGCATTTGACTTCTGTTGTACGCTGACTGTGATACTCTGCTTTGGAGGTCGTTTAAGAAAGCAGACTATTAAAGCTGTAGAGCAGGGGTAGGTAACCTCTGGCATGGGTGCCTGAATGTGGCACATGAAGGCATTCTCTTTGGCGTGCGCACCTTAGCATGGACAGAAGACAAGGGGTCTGGGCTGCACTGCCACGAAAAGGGTCAGGCCCCTCGCAGCTCTCCCACCATACACCCGCGGCATGCCAACGTCTTACAAGTTGAAGTTGCAGGTGTTTCTGACACTCTGCCCAAAAACGTTGCTGACCACTGCTGTACAGGGTTATCATTTGAGAGTTTAGGAAAGCCTGGATCAGGGCACTCACATTACACAACTGAGCAGTGATATGGGGTATATGCAGCCCCCCTATGTGAAATGTGGCATGTAATGCACCAACCTGGGAGCAGTGAAGGAAGAAGTCGTCACAAAAAAGACACAATTCTTTTCCTGCTCCTCCTTTGCTCCAAAGCTAGTTACCCCTTGCTGACCTTGATCCTTAGCAGATAGCTTTCCTTCCTACTCTTGCCCAGCTGCACTGCCCATCACACTGATGAACATGAGACAAAACTTGCTTACAGATGCAGGAGTTAGGGTCACACAACGCATCCCATACCACTCAGAATCTTGGGCCAGAACCCAGGGAGGCTGCAAAAACAGCTTGCGGGTGTGTCTGATGCCCCTTCATGTGTTCAAGCTGTGTAGGATGGGACACAATGTGATCCTTGCTGCAGTAGAGGTATCTGAGCAATAGAAGGGTTTTGTACCATTTATTTTGATAATGAAGTCATTGGATTTTACAATACCCCTAAATCTCCAATAGTTCTCAGATCTTTATTTATAGAATCAGGAATTGCTAAAATGTTGGCAGAAAAAACAAAGGTGGGGATATCTGGGTGTGCAACCATGCAGGGTTTTTGGCACCCAGGAAAAGGAAGGGTATGTATTTTGGGTGCCAAGGAATACTGGAGGCTGTTAATGCTCATGATGGAAAACACGCATTTCCTTGTTCCTTCTGCTTTTTGGGGAGGGTGACAGATAACTTATTGTTTTTCTGATTGCTGCCTAAATTCCTCATTCATTGTCCCAGGAGCTCAGGTAGTAACCACCCTAATGTCTGCAACTATAAATATACCTATACAGCACAACGCAGTGCTGTGAGCAGATACCTGAGCTATCTCTGAATGAGCTAGCTTGGATACTGGAAGCAGTAGAGCAATGTTAGTACTGCTTTTTGCCCAGCTTAATTAGTGGGGCCAAGGAGACAGGTAATTACATCCTGCTGCCAAATATCCAGGCCCACAGGGAGCCTCACAGGCTGGG